AAGCACACTTGGATTAAAGATGGTAATGGTACAAAACTCCCTGTGAAATTATTATTTCTGGCAAGCTGTCATTTTGAGGAAAACAATAAAAGAAGGTTGTTTCCAATGATGTGTCTAAAGACGCATTTTTGGAAATTTCCGTTAGTAGTTCATTTTTTAATTTTTTAATGAGTGCGCGCAAGCGTTGACACGACGCATACGCGCGTCCGTTTGCTATTATTTGTCCGTTCAGCTAGTGCGTGACATCGCGTAGCTGCAATCGACTGAATGAGAAATTGTCCTGGACGCTGATTTTGGGCGCAATTCAAAACATGAGTCGGCAACTTTTGAAATGAAATCAAGATACTAGAATATTGTTTTCTCGGAATATACAGCATTCAATGAGCTGAAACTTCATCAGGTTAGTTGTTAAGCACCCTTCTTTAGATTTTGAGCACTTTTGTTGCTTCAAACAAACGAAAAAATGCACAAATGACAAATGATGTAACCTACCTTAGAAAAGAAGAAGATTATTTCTCAAAGTGTAATCACCTAAAATAAACTGACAATGGATAAATAAAGTGGTGTATGCTTGGGACATGTTGGAGTGCTGGATAACTTGGGATTCAAAATATAATGCATATTTGAAACCAATAAATGTCACTCACAATGTTTGCATATGATACTTCATGTCATTACCCTTTTAGAAGCCACATGTGTTCATTTATTTTTTTTTAAAATGTAAAAATAAACACAACTATTAGACTATGAGAAATTATTATGTTTGACATTTCTGTTCATTCCAACTCAAATAATGAAAGAATAGTACTGAATATATCGACGGAGTCGACTGGTGGTTCTGGTTTGGCTTCACTGCGAGATAGACATGTATATATTCGGACATGCATTTTTTGTCTCCTTTCGATCTAGATCTTCCAAGAACTTTAAAGCAAAGTTATATTGTATTAAAATATGCTCAGCTGATGTAACAGAATTTAAAATCTATTCCTCATTTTAACAAGACACAACATTTGTCTACAACATTCAACAAAACACACCGAAATTTCTGGATCATATTGTAAAAAGAAAGGAAAAAATCCACTTGTTATTAAATCTTTGACATTGTTAGGAATGTATCTACACCGAAAGCTTTGCAATCAAACTACTATACAACAAAGGAAACATCAAAAATGCTGTACTATACTTAGGAATTTTATTTTGAAAGACAATGTTCTTTCTAGGTTGCCCAAGCAAAATACATGCTGATGAGTGCAACAGATAAGGGTTTGATTCAGATAGTCAATGTTAAAAATTTTCGATCTTTTTTCGAAAACATTACACAAGCTTACATGCAAATGGATGTGCATACTGGTATTGATACTGGTTTTAAAGAAACTGGCATAGCATGACTAACTCATACATAATGTTCAATGGCCATTGGGGAATAACATGTATATGAGGATTTGCTCCGAAATCCCCATGACTGAGTTTTAAATGTCAGGGTTTTCGAACTGTTGCTATACAATCTGTTTGTCATCAATCTGTCTGTCATCCATCTGTCTCTCATACAATCTGTCTCTCATCAATCACCAGTCTTTGTACAATCCCTTGCTTTGTTTTCACTCATGAAAGAAAACAAAGTAAAACAGATTATGCAGTTGTGAATATTTTTTGCCAGAACAGAAAAAGGATCATGAATTTCAGCCTTTGCAGTAAAAACCATTCATTTAATTGAAAACAAAAATGTGTCTTTTTTGAGTTTGAAAAATGTCAGTACATTTTATTTTTACGCACACAGTTATTTCCGGTTTGATGAGCCACCAGTTCAAAAGGCACCGTCTACTACCTTACGAAAAACAAACACGCAGCTCTATTTAATTCAAAAGATACAGTACTATTTTGTCAAATTTGGCCCATAGCAATCCCTAACAGTCCTGAATCCTCCAATTTCAATACGATTTTGCATACCCCCTAGGGAGTTAGGGTTAAATCGCTTGTATTTTGATACATGATGACGTCATGATGGCGTCACAGAATTTATAACATCTTCGGACCAGGGTCCATGCAAGTTCAAACCCGGTTTTATTTTCACCACGCCAACTGTTTGGAAGTTTGTTTTGATTTGAGGCTCATTTCTATATTTTGAATTCACCCAACCGTGACCTTCCGGTAGCCCCAGAAAGAAAGGTCAAACGACTTTGACTTTGTTAATCAAAAATGTTTATCAAGGAATGGTCCATCAGATTACAAAGTATGAACGTGATCGTTCATTTTGTTCATGAGTTATAATTGACAGTATATGGTCATATTTTGAACAAAAATCGCTTGTTAACTGATACCCGACGATGTCATCATAACGTCAGAGTATTACATGCATGCACCACTCGGATCAAGGTTGATATATGTTGAAAGTTACAAGTTCATATACCATAAACCGTTTAGGAGAAAACCCGCAAGGGCATTATTGTCCGGAAAAAAAGTGATTGGGTCGTACCAGATCACTCAATAACCACCAGGCCGAAGAAAAGGAGGTTTACAAATGGTAAAGCAGAAAGGGAGCTTTTCTTTCGTAACGAGAGGGATTTCCTGTGGAATTTGGGCCCACTTCAAGTTTAATTGCAAAACTAAGTCTATAGAGTCTAATACAACAAAAACAACATGGTTTACTTTCGGGGGAAGAATTGTGAAATTACTAGTTCCTCACAGTGGCGTATCCAGGGGGGGGGGGGCACTTTTCCACCTGGCGGATTGTTTTGACAAGTATTTTTTTTGTCAGCAATTATTTCAATAAATGGTTAGAGAGTTCTGAAATCAATCCCAAATCCTAAAAAAGAAAACTCGCTCAAAAACCATTACAATGCGCCGTGAAAATGGGCATATAATATTTGCAGTATGCATAATAATGGTCAGTTTTGAAGAGTGGCCCCATTTGGAAGATGGGTACCAGCCCCCCCCCCCCCCCCCCCCCTTGATTTTACAGAGGCCAAGTGTCCAGAGAAAAAAAAAATGTCTACATTTCGGCGTGGATGTGCGGTTGCACCCCCTCACATCAAAAGCTGGATACGCTACTGGTCCCTCATCAGAGTTGGCTGATTTTTGACATGTACTTCCCTCTGCCTTGGGTCTGGAGGCAGTCAAATCAGCCATCACCTGTGGACCAGTAATTTATGGCCGTGACTCCCTTGGACTGTGCTTGGACAGATCTGTGATGACTGGTACTGAACAAAAAGCAAGGATATAGCTTCCATTTCCCGCTGATTACTTGGTTTCGCAGCACACGGCTAACAGGGTCCAGGTCACACCTGGACTCTAATTAGTTGGTTTCGCAGCACACGGCTAACAGGGTCCAGGTCACACCTGGACTCTGATTAGTTGGTTTCGCAGCACACGGCTAACAGGGTCCAGGTCACACCTGGACTCTGATTAGTTGGTTTCGCAGCACACGGCTAACAGGGCCCAGGTCAAACCTGGACTCTGATTAGTTGGTTTCGCAGCACACGGCTAACAGGGTCCAGGTCACACCTGGACTCTGATTAGTTGGTTTCGCAGCACACGGCTAACAGGGTCCAGGTCACACCTGGACTCTGATTAGTTGGTTTTGCAGCACACGGCTAACAGGGTCCAGGTCACACCTGGACTCTGATTAGTTGGTATCGCAGCACACGGCTAACAGGGTCCAGGTCATACCTGGACTCTGATTAGTTGGTTTCGCAGCACACGGCTAACAGGGTCCAGGTCACACCTGGACTCTGATTAGTTGGTTTCGCAGCACACGGCTAACAGGGTCCAGGTCACACCTGGACTCTGATTAGTTGGTTTCGCAGCACACGGCTAACAGGGCCCAGGTCAAACCTGGACTCTGATTAGTTGGTTTCGCAGCACACGGCTAACAGGGTCCAGGTCACACCTGGACTCTGATTAGTTGGTTTCGCAGCACACGGCTAACAGGGTCCAGGTCACACCTGGACTCTGATTAGTTGGTTTTGCAGCACACGGCTAACAGGGTCCAGGTCACACCTGGACTCTGATTAGTTGGTATCGCAGCACACGGCTAACAGGGTCCAGGTCACACCTGGACTCTGATTAGTTGGTTTCGCAGCACACGGCTAACAGGGTCCAGGTCACACCTGGACTCTGATTAGTTGGTTTCGCAGCACACGGCTAACAGGGTCCAGGTCACACCTGGACTCTGATTAGTTGGTTTCGCAGCACACGGCTAACAGGGTCCAGGTCACACCTGGACTCTGATTAGTTGGTTTCGCAGCACACGGCTAACAGGGTCCAGGTCACACCTGGACTCTGATTAGTTGGTTTCGCAGCACACGGCTAACAGGGTCCAGGTCACACCTGGACTCTGATTAGTTGGTTTCGCAGCACACGGCTAACAGGGTCCAGGTCACACCTGGACTCTGATTAGTTGGTTTCGCAGCACACGGCTAACAGGGTCCAGGTCACACCTGGACTCTGATTAGTTGGTTTTGCAGCACACGGCTAACAGGGTCCAGGTCACACCTGGACTCTGATTAGTTGGTTTCGCAGCACACGGCTAACAGGGTCCAGGTCACACCTGGACTCTGATTAGTTGGTTTCGCAGCACACGGCTAACAGGGTCCAGGTCACACCTGGACTCTGATTAGTTGGTTTCGCAGCACACGGCTAACAGGGTCCAGGTCACACCTGGACTCTGATTAGTTGGTTTCGCAGCACACGGCTAACAGGGTCCAGGTCACACCTGGACTCTGATTAGTTGGTTTCGCAGCACACGGCTAACAGGGTCCAGGTCACACCTGGACTCTGATTAGTTGGTTTCACAGCACACGGCTAACAGGGTCCAGGTCACACCAGGACTCTGATTAGTTGGTTTTGCAGCACACGGCTAACAGGCCCCAGGTCACACCTGGGCCCAATTTCATGTTTATCAGCTCAGTACGCAATCTTTCCAATTAGCAAAAATAATGAGAACCAGCTACATGTAGGCACTGATCAAGCAATGTACAGGTACACATACTGTACAACACGTGGGCACGTGTAGTCTAGTGGTAGGACACAGGATTCATGATCGTGAGATGTGGGTTCGAGCCCCGCCCCGGCCATGCGTGTTGTGTCCTTGAGTAAGGCGCTTTACCTCAATTACTCCTCTCAACCCAGGTGTTAAATGGGTACCGGCATTATTCAACGCTGGGAAGGTAACAGACTCACTGTGGAGGAAGTGTGGCGATCCCCCCACAGCAGCATTTCATGGACTCAAGTCTGGCCAAATCGCTTCGAAAAAGAGATGGGCACTCTGTTCCTGTGAACACATGTTCGTCCCCCTTTACGTGTACATAACTTGTACATTATTAGCCAAAAAACAGTTTTGTTTAGTCTAAAAGCTTTTCACCCTGGATACGATTTCTCGCTTGGATAATTGCACTTGCAACCACAGATTTGTTGTTACTAATTAAGTGTCTGCACTGAGAACTATAAATACTACTAACCAGGTCAACTGTTTTAAGCTGCTACTGCACAAAATGCTTATAAAAACCAAAATGTTAAACTTGAGTAGAAATTCCCAACCACTAACATTGCCAAATGATGTCTACTTCTTTATATTCAATATTTGATTTTTTAGGTAAGTACACTATCAAATTTGATTTGAATAGGGTTTTGATAATTTCAAGAAACATTTTCCAGTCTTAAGAAAATTTTTGGAGAGGAACAAAGAGTTGTTTCATTCAGGCCGAATGCTCAACATGCTAAATTCCCCCTGTACACTGAGCAATCCCAAACTCATCTGGAAGAGATAGTACAGAAAATGTATGACTGTCGTCAGATTCGACCTTAAAAAATTTTAACACAGCTAGGCTGTGCCATATTTCATTCAGTTTTCTTTCCCCGAATGAAAGAAAGTGATTTGGACTCCCAAGTCTCAATGTGAAACCGAATCCAAGTGGAACTGAGCGTAAAGGACTGAGCAGGGATATCGCACCAAAGCCAGTAAGCTGCCAGCACAGGAAATGACTTCTGTAACGAATAGAAACTCGACACGGGCCAATTTTTTTTCACAACCGTGCAGGACGTAATGAAAATATGGCCTTTCTTTGTTTTGTTTTTTATTACCAATGTGGTAAGGTAGAACACACAGGAAGTCCAAATGAGGCACTTATCACAAGAGCACTTTCAGATCAGAACAAAGAGACGGGGCTCTAGATTCATGACAGCTTCCTGCATTTTGATAAGAAATTAATTCCCCCCCCCCCCCCACTGATTGAAGATGAAAGGTTTCAAATGCAGAAAGAATCATTTAGGAAAAAAATGAAAGGGATCTCGACCTGTACTGCATGATTTGAGAAGTAATAAACCTCATCAAATACAATCTAAGACAAGTCCGTGTCAGTCCAACAACTGGACCATTCCAACAGTAGGGGTGTTGTACGGCAGATTGGTGACGGGATTGTACATTTGATGATAAAATCATGAAATTTGGCACACAGTCAGAGTATGTATTTGGCTATAGGGCCATCACAGATTTGTCCTTTGAAAAAATATAGGCAGGATAGCAAGCAATGACAGCCATTTTGAAAATTTTGAAAATTGCTTGTTAATCTACCTATACTTTTTCACAGTACAAATCTGTGATGGCCCTATAGCTAAGAAGTTTCTCTAGGGCATGTTCTACATGTGTGCCAACTTTCATGTTTTTATCATTAAATGAACAATTCTATCATATTTTGCACCAAACTGCCTGACTAGTGATTCCTACTCAACTCGAAAGCGAGCGTGAAAGTGAATGCAAATTTGTGACGTCAAGAAAAGTATTCACACTGGAAATTCGCACAAGATATGAGCACATTTCAGCTCCAGTGAAGTTCACAGCGACTGTTTCCTGACATTGAACTTGCTTCGTTTTGGGCTTCGGCGTGAAAAAGGAACCAAACTTTACTTGTAATAATTGAGGTTGTCCAACTATCAATAACCACAGTTTTTCTATCACTGTTGTTCTTTGTTGTTAATTGGGCAAAATTAAAACCCGGTTTGTACCTACCTGAGCGCATGGCAGATTCTTCTCTTGTACTTGTTGAGTTGACAGTTGGCAACATCCGGTCTGTGCGTACATACTGGTATGGCACACAGGGAGCTATTGCACTGTTTGTATGTGTGGTGGAGTCAGGGAGGCTAATCAAGAACTTGGAATGCATGCAAACTTATCGCTGAAATTTTGTCAACCCATTAGCACTTGTATTACATTGTATTACATTGCATTTATTCCCTGAGTAATCTACAAACCATAGAGTGCTTGGGTGGTTTCGGAAAGTACAAGGAGTAATAGGCAATGCACTTGCCCATTACAATCTGCACTTCCGACTAAGCTGGAATCTTGATCATCTCTGTGTTAAATGAGACATCTCCAGAAAAAAACTTGTAATTTAGAATCTGATATTTATGCCATCTGGTTGCCTCAGACTGATAGAGTTACTTTTGCAGTCGAAGTAGAGGACCAAATCCAACGTTGCACAGACCATTAAACTTAGATTTATGGGCTTAAATTTGAAAACCAGACATGAAATATATAAACTTGTTAGCAAAGATGAATTAACACTGAAAATTATTTGACACATTTCAGCACTCAAAATGAAATCTTCAGTTTTAAATGACACATGCATTCTGCCTGCATACATAAATACACAGGCAAAATGTCAGCATACACAAATGTCCTGGTGCATTTCTCCTACAAAGAATTTGTAGCATTAATTGCACAAAATACCTCAAATTTCAAAGTAACAAAACCGTCAAGGCAATGCAAGAAAAAAAAAACAGCAAAAGGTGAGGCAAGTATACGGACAGCCTGAGTAGATATGACCTACACACTGTTATTATCCCTTAATCTTATCTTTCTGTAGGCGGTCCCATTCTCCATGCATCCCAGCTATTATGCAAAACCTGCATCCCGAGGCCAAGTAAATCCCCCAGGTACAAACAAAAGGAGATGGTTTGATATGATAACAAAAACAGGCTAGAAAAGAAAATGTCTCAAAAGGATATAGGTCCAGGAACTGAGCGGCAATCTCTTTGGATGAGGTGAACCACTTGTGCATCCGGAACACTACCTTGGGGAAGGTGGAGTCCTCTACTAGGCTCCCATCTTCATCTGGAGAGAAAAAAAATATCAGACAACAATTGTGATAAAGTGTTAGGCCGTGCTTTTTACACAGCCAGACCCTCAAGCCAAGGAAACCGTGATGACTCGCTGTATTGAGGGTGACTTTCAGGCCATGAATTTCTTGTTTTGACACAGGATGGAATGAACTCAATCTTCACACCGAATGGGTCAGTAAAGCTTTCAGATCAATTTAAAAGGGGGGAAAAATTATTCATTTACCAAAACACCATCAGGTATTGAATGTATTGAAATAATTTAATAATCCCATCCAGGAGAAAGCCTCTTTACAGCTTACACCTTTGTTTTCCTGGCTGATTACCTCCCAAATAAAGCTAGGAATGTATCACTGAAATTTGAATTATTTTGGGTATAAACAAAATGAGTAGATGATCCTCGGTAACCAATACAGATCGCTATAAACTAAAAAGCTTAAGAACTATCCAACAGACACGCTGCCATTTCTTACAGGTTATTGGAAAATCAGAGCAAATCACTTTCCCCCCTAGTTTTTCTGCCTCTTAGAAGTTGTACTCTCTTACGTTTGCTACTGAATTGAGTTGGTCCTTCCACGTGGCCTGTAATCGACTGAAATTAATGCATACAGCCCTTACTACATTGTGGCTATATTTGCACCACTTAAGTGTGGCCTCTTGTCTCTTTTCATTTGAGAAGATAAACATACATCAGTCCTGACGAAAGCTTGCAATTTAACCGATGTGTGTCTTCCCTGAGCACTTAGAAAAGGCATTCGCAACAGACCATACAGTAATATTTGTGAAATCCTCGGCATCTGTGAAATCCGATCAACAAAGACCCAAATTAAAATCAATCCCCTTCAAGACAGGTTATCTAGGCTAGGTTATCAACACACCAGGGACGGACTAAATTGGCTGTTATGTTTACCCCCAATACCTTGTCGCTTTGCATGGCCCCAGCTAAAAATCTCTGCCTATATGGGAACTTTAATTAGCTGGGCTAAAACAATATCTGATTGACGTCAGCGCATGCACACATGCTCTCGCTGCTGTGCGAAGATGCACAGTCACGCAAAATATTTGTCACTGAGTGATAAATGTATAAATGTTATCGTCTGGAAATTATTTGTGAACATAACATGTTATGAAAGGCCTACACGTTATTAGGGCTGAGTAAGATTTAAAAAACAACAACCAGCATTCACAACAGCTCTTATATTTGAGTATGACATTGAAGTTACTATGTTATTATCTCATTTGGCACTTTTTTTTACCCCAATTTGGGGTGTACATGTACATGTACACGTAGGTTTAAATGGGCAACACTCACAAAAAAAAATACACAGCATTCGATCTTTGATAAGGGAATAAATGTGTGTTCGGGAGGTATTATAACACTCTGTTTAAGACTGGTAGGAGTCCAGACTCCCATTGGTCTTAAACAAAGTGTTTAAAACCGACCGAATACATATTTATTCCCATTCATAAATACCTTTTCCGGTCAAAAAACCAAATTATTTCGGTCCAAAAATCAAAACAAGTCAAAAACGAGACTAACCAACCATTTTGTTCAACAATTTTACTTCATGTTTTACGAAACACCCCTCTGACTTTAATGTGGAATGCCCCTCTACAACTCGTTACCTTATAAGGACATTGGCGTGCGCGTCGCGCGTACTGCGCGATGTCGCGCAAAACGCAGCTGGGCTGGTGTAGTGTGAATTTCGGACTATGAAATACTGATTCACTGGTAGATTGCGCATGCATACGTGAGGAATGTGAAAGTTCAACCAATGAAACATTAAAAGGCACCGGATTTCATGGGAGTCCAAATTTCATGTGACACTGGAAATTGGAAGAGTGTTTAAGACCAGCTAGCCATGTCTTTATCATCCGTTTAAGACCGGCCACATGATGGGCTCTCGACCAATAGGAATGCATAAACTGTCTTAGGTATTTATGAATACTAAATATATATGCATTTGATCTTGGCCACTTAAAAATTCTTGTCCAACATGTGCACGTCTATAAGACACTCCTGCTTGATCCCATAATGTGGAAGAGCAATACTTTGATAAATGGCATTCCCTAAATTTCCCAAAATATTACAGGTCAGTACAGTGTATAAACTAGTGCCTTTTTAATGGATTTTTAAAATCATCTTGTGTGATTAATTTCAATCATGAGTGCATTTTTGTGGCCATATATTTCAGTTCTTCAATTCAATTCAATTCAATCAACATTTATTTCCATAATGCCACAATTTTTATAAAACAATAAAACAAGTCATAAATAATATTAATAGTACTAGGATAGATCAGGAAGAAAAAAACAATAAATAGAAAAGCCAATTATGGAGGCATCTTCCAAAGCTAGGGGCTTATACGGAGATGCCTTGACAAAAAAACAACAACGGACATGTCTCATCAAATACGGAGTCAGACTAACAATTGGACATACATGAATACAATGCACATGGGATGAATATAAATATTGAGGAATACTGGGAGATTAAAAAAATAGATAATGCCATAGATGAATAAATAATGCAACTAGTCAAAAAAAGAAAGAGAAAAAAGGAAGTAGGCTATTTTTGGATTGTTCTTCGTGTTATTGTTTTGAAGCATCTTGTAATTTATGTAAAGTGCTCTGTGGTATTACAAGAATGTAGAAAAAAAGTGCTAAATATTATTATTAGAATTAAGCTGCCTCCATAATTACACTCTTGTATCGTGGTGTACAAATGTACATGTATATATATATTTACTGTCAGCGCAATGTAACCTTCTCGGGGCGAGTGCCAATTTCCTAAATGTCTGACCAGTAATAAAATCCGAAGCCATTTTCTAATTTCATTAGGCAGATTGCGGCCAGCCAACGAAATTTAATAAAAAAACTGGCATCAAACCTATTTCCTGTCCTTAGACGGAATGATTAAAGACTGAGCAGATTTTAGGCCAAGCAAATTTTTTTGAGGGCCACCGTGAGCAAAACAAATAGGTTAAAAGTGCCAGGAAATATCTAGTACCCAAAATGCACAGGAATGAACTAATTTTAATTATGGGGATGTGTTTATTACATTTTGCGATAATCAGGCATGCAACTTGGAATTAACAAAAAATGAGGAAATTCTAATCTTTACAGGACTTTGTACAGTGTTTTTTTTTTTCAATTTTAAATGGCAAAAGTCTGAAGTGAAAAACAAGGAAATCAGCTGATCCGAGGAAAAGTTGCATGCCTGGATAATGTACTTGTACATGTAGCAAAGGATTGAATCATGAGTGACTTAAGCATGCCCAGTTTCAACTTTGCAAAAATCATAGTCGAAAGGGATTGCAAATGGGATTACACAAAAAAAAACATTAGTTAGGCGTCTGCATAACATGGTCCTGAATTGCAATGAAATCGTTCCCCTTAATTTCCTTTCAAACAGCAGCCAACAGTTTCCTTCTTGATTCAAGATAGGGGAGAATAGTGGATTTAAGTGCAATTAACACTATTTTGAATGCTGATTTTTCCCCCTATTTTATCTTTTATAACCGTTATAATTTTTTTCATGTGGACACCTGTACAGCTGTTAAGATTGTGTTTTGGGGTTGTTTATTTTTAGTTGGTGTTTTTGTTTTGATGCATTTGTTTTCCTGATGGGTGGACAGAACATTTGGTGACGAGTAAAATTGCTTTCCCGCCTCCCTCAGTCTTGCTTTTACTATGCATTTTATCCTTAATTTTGATAGATTAATTTTTTTTTAATATCTAATTGCTTACTGTAATTATGAAGTATAGCATAGTAAATTCCTCTTTTTCCGTCCCCCAGCTATTTTGCTCCCTATTTCCTCCTAATACTTATTTAGTCTCATTATTATACATCTTTGACCTCTGTTGTCTGTATGTTCATCAGTCCATCCTTGGTTATTGTTTGTGTTTCATTTGCCCTTGTCTATTGGTTTGTCTGTTTTTCTTTATTCTTTGTTACAGTTTTGCATTTAAGTATAGGCACGCCCATAGAAGCTGTGGTTTTTTTAAATCATGCCTCCATCATATCTTAATATAACTATTGTTGTCATGATGCTTTTACTTTGCTTTTGATGGAAGTAAATGTTATTGAAATTGAAATTGAAAATAATAGTGCAGTGCCCGTTCAAAATGTGCAGCAGTGCGTGGCGCGGTCTGTATATGTTTGTATGGTGTAGGCCTCCGAAAGTGCTGGGTTTTTTTTGCAGCTTGTTTGAGAACCGCTGATCCAAACAACTTCAAACTTGACACTGCACATGCTTGGGTGCTGAGCAATACACCTGCCGATTGTCAACTTCATACAGTGCTTGGTTCTAGAGATAATCAAAGTACAGACAGACATACAGACACACAGAGGTTCCTGGAATTATAGTTAGATATAATACTTACCAAAGCATTCTACAACTAAATCTGCAAGTCTGTCCATTGGCACTGCTTTGACTGAGACTTTATCATCGTCTGGAGGCTCTGAGGAAGACCCTAACTTCCGACGCCGTGGGCTACTGGCTTCTTGACTCATTGTTTCTGTTGAGACAGGAAAATATCAATACCACTTATTGTACAAGTATGCGGATCTCGGCTGATGGAGACTATGAGAGCTTAAAGTGATCTTTCGCATTTCCTTAAGAAATTATCATGGAAGGACGGGATATTCAAATAAAAGATGTTAGTAGTTTTCATCATGCAGGAAAACTTCCTGTAATGTAATATTGAAAGGCACGTTGCCTTCATTTAGTGTTTGAAAGTCATCCCAGTTGGACTTTCCACGATCATTTACCACTGGAACTCGGAATCGTAAATGGTCACCTTAAGCTTTTGTCGGAGACACCTGTAGTTTAATTTCAGAATTGGACAATCTGTAAAATCTGCATTTTTTTTTTATCTAAAGCAATACTGTTTTTCAAAATATCTTGTGACACCATGTCATGATAATTTATCTTGATACTGTTTTTGGTGTTATTGGTGTTTTTTTTTTTATTATTTTTTAATGGAAGTCACCCATTACACGACAGAAAGCCGCTCAGGGTAAAGGGCTATAGAAACACGAGAGGAACAGAAAAAAAAGTGAAATGATAAGAAGAGATTCACTGTTTCAGGAAGTGAATGAGAGAATGACTAAAATCCTTTCCTCATCGTAAAAAAAGACAAACAAAAACACCAGCAATGAAACAAATGCATTAAATATTAATGACCTCACACACACAAGGCCTCAGACATCAATTACAGACAAAAACTAGAGGTTCACGTTTGTTGTTACAAACACAGAGTGGTCGGGCAGGCAATTTTTTCATTAAACACTGCCGAGTTAAGTTATGAATATTTTTATGTAAGAACAAAGGATCAAAAATTAAATCCTTTACAGTACAATCAATTATTTTGTGATAAAATTCAGTAAACATTATATGTACACATTTAAGTTATTTCTGGCTTGATGACATAATTATTCAAAAAAGGGAAGTGAATACTGATTTAGTTCGGAGTGGATACATGTTCATTGTGCGGAAGATAAATAATGTATGAAAATATGAAAAATATAAGTGTATGTTTTCATAACATCTAACTTCCGGTTTGATAACGTCACAGTATTTGGAAGCATGCAAAAAGTGAACCTTGTAATGGATATCGTTATTTGGGCTACGAAGATATTCGACATGGATCGAATGGTATAAAATAGACTTAACATGCGGGTAGTTTTCAAATTCTCATAGAAGTAACTTCCGGTTGGATGACGTCATGAATTTGAAACCGTGCCAAGTTATTTGTGGTTATTCAAAGAATATCAAGGGGCGATTTGATAAAATTTGAACGGATGGTTTTCAACTTAAAGAAAGCAAACACTGTTTTATGTGTCGCTAGGGGGCGCCCTTTCGAAAGATGTCGTTATCACACTGCATTTTTATCTGGCATCCTCACTAAACACTTTCATAATTTATATGTGTGTAGTAAAATGATTCCCCTTTTGAGTTATATTCGGTTTTTATTGCACTTCCGGTAACACCGGAAGTGAAGGTCAAGCGGTTTTGTGTCCGGGAACACGAAATGTTTCTCACGGCATAGTCTTCAACCTCAGGAAAAAACGAACACGATTCTCTATTTACTTCAAAAGATATAGGGCAAACTATTTTGTCAAAATTTGCCCTTAAATCGCTTGTAATTTGATACCTGATGACGTCATGATGACGTAACAAAATGTATAACATCTTCGTAACATGGTACAAGTTCGCACTAGGTTTTAGGATCATACCGTAAACCGTTCGGAAGAAACGGTGCTTTGTTTGGATTTCAGGCTAATGTCTACATTTTGAATTCACCTAAATTTGACCTTCCGGTAGAACCGGAAGACAAGGTCAAGCTAGTTCACATACACAACATAAAATGTTTATCAAATAATGGTCTATCTGATTACAAGGTTGGAACATATGATTGATCATTTTGTTCAAGAGTTATAGGTGACAGAAGATCGTCATTGTTTTAACGAAAATCGCTTGTAATTTGACACCCGATGACGTCATAATGACATCAGAGTAATATGCACCACTTCGGATGAGGATCGATATATATTGAAAGTTACAAGTTCATATCATAAACCGTTTAGGAGAAAACCCGAGGAAACGTGCTGTACGGAAAAAAAAGAAAGATTAATCGTAACTAATAGAGAGTGGTCGGGTTGTGCCCGACCACTCAACAAGAGAGAAGTACCGGTATCCCAAAGAGGCGACTGCATGTTGTAACAAGAATTTAAAATCAAGCACAAAATAAAAATCTTCCAAATGATCCTGATTTCCTTTCAACCTGTCCGAGGCAAATGAATCATCTGCATCAAATAATACATGATAGAATGATAAAATCTATTTTAGAAATGAGTTACTTGCATGTCTACCTGTTGGTTGATTAAGATAAGTATGAAGCATGCACGATGTTAGTGGTTCCTTAGCGGTGCAATGTTAGAGTGTGCACAGATTATTGGACTGTACTCGGTTTGTCCAGCGATTCACTTTTCCTGCAACACACATGCTAACAAGCCGCAAAGGATGTCTTGGGAATCTTGTATTTCTGCTCGGGAAATTCTGAGCAGAATTGTGTGGCATTATAGCTTGTCTGGTCTCGGTACGCACTGCTGCAGTTTTCGAAGCGCTATCCATGTACGTGTATGTTATGTCACCTGACAAACGGTTTTCAAAACAGCTCTTTTGTTTCCACCACTGCGCATGCGCCTTTATTTTGCCTATTAAGTCATACCCTATTGCAATGCAAGATTCCCAAGACGTTCTTTGCGAGCGGATCGCCGACCAGGTCAGGTTCGTGGGCATGCCACTGCTGTGTAGGCTGTACCGTCTATCGTGAATTGCCCTGCTAGAACGTCCAAGACTAGCACAATGTACACCCTCCAGTGGGAAAAGCAATGTCATTACTATTTCATCACAAATATCAAGTATTAAACTTGCTATAATAACAATCAAGTTTAGAAAAGGTATATGTAGGGCTAATTAGCATTACCGTATATTGCCCGAGAGTGTAAAGTTTATACAGGGACTGTGTCTGTCTCTTGTGCATTACATGTATGTATAGTCAGGTTGGGCATTACTACATACAATGAAGATCAATCAACAGCCGGAAGATAGGAAATGCCATTGTCATTTTAAAAATTCAGGGGAGTAATAATGTATAAATGATTCACATAGTGCAAAGTCAGACCTGACAGCGAACAGAGGAATATGGTAAATTTTTCAACAATGCTGAGAGGATTACTTCCTTCAACGGTTAATTTATATTCACAAACTCGTCTTGGGACTGAAGACGAGTTGCCACACTACCAGTAGGACGTGTGGCAAGCTGGATCCTACGACCGATTTCACTAATCACATCACAAGCAAGTTGCATCTAAAATACAGTTTAAATAGCAATTGTTACTTATTGGGTGATAAAACCGCCCATTTTTATGGCTTGTGTAATGTTCAATCACTTAATAAATTGGCTGTTGAAAAGACAACGCAAACATTGGCATAATTTTTTTTTATATTATTTTTTAGTATTTATAAAATGCACATGCTGTAAGGATACTGCTGAGTTCAAACCTATTTTGACTATACCTCAACACTCCCCAGCTAATCACTCTTTTTCAAGAGCTAAGAAAGAACATGCAATGTATTATTTCACAAATTAACTAGAAGCAGAATCCTAATCATACGTTATATATTATCTAAATTATCTGCAGTCTTGAAATTACATACTGATGCTATAAATATTCCTACATGTGACTACCTGCTACAGCGTGACTTAAAGTTGGAAGGCAGTGCAATGCTTTAAGATCATCAGATAATAAGACTACCCTAAAACAGATCTCAAGTATAAGTTAAGATGAGTTCAGCTGCGTTGCTAAATAACTAAGGACTCATTGATCCCATCTTACGTTTGATGAAATTGATCCCACGGCAGGTAAGACTTTAAGACAACTTACTCTTCCAAGACAAAATGCAAATTAAAAGGCATGTACATGTAGTACTTGTGAGTTAAGACGACCATAAGTCCAATCTTACACGTAAGTACAAGTTAAGATGAGCTCAGCTGTGGGGCTTTTAATGTTAGTTAAGACGCACTGAGCCCATCTTACGTTTGGGGAAATCGAGCCGTAGGACTAGGTTATGAATCAAGATGAGTTACTCTTCGAAGAAGCGTACGTCTTAACATATTCCTTGAAATTGGCCGCAGGCTGCACTGTACTTTCTCACTACATCCTGTCACACTTTGTCATTCTGCATGAATCCGGTTCTCATCTATTTAATACCTTTCTCCATAGTTTAGGCATTCAGCTAATGGTTGGATGCATACTGACAGAAACGCTGAGTTTACTACTTCTGGTTCGTCTAAGAATCACCTCTCTTTTAGAGATGCCGCTCCCAAGTTGTCTTCTCCAGCATTTAAACCATCAAATAACTATTATGTGAACCTGTAGACTGATTTTGTGACATGGTTCTTGGTTAATCCACAGAGTCTTCTTGGCTTGCTCTCTGGAAGCTTCAGTCCCTTAATCACTTTTCTAGGGGCAGACAATTGAAGCATCTACAATGCACGGTGCCCAAAAAGCTGCTATTGGCGGCACAAATCTGGATTCACCAACAGTGCATTATGAGAATACGTCAACTTCCGTTTGTAGATACTGTCAAACAGTAATTAAGTTTGTAAAGTATACAAGGACTACTGAGCAGTCTTTATGGCTATACTGTACATGTATAATGTACATGTGCATGATGGAATTTGGATTTTTTTCCCCGAGAATAATAGATGTTGCTCTCAACTGAGTGCTTACTAAATGTAAACCGATTAGGAACAGAAGATATTAACTGCGATCTACATAATGTATGTATGTAGCAAGTTGACCGTTGGGTCTTGTGTCTTCAAGGCAAATGCTTCTTAGTGCACTGTTTGTGAATTGCTCCCTTTTAAGACTATATGCGTGAGTTCATTTATTCCTATTTTTATCTCATTACCAATGCAATTGCTCCAAGAATATTCCAGTATGTGAC